AGTTTGCTATTTATTTTTTCCAAAAATCATTTCTAGTTACATAAGTACCTATTTAATCATAAATACATGGTTTGGTGGCGATATGTCGAGGTTTGGACAATGGCCGAGGGCCCCAACTCCAGAGCGCGTAAACTCGCATGCCCGCCGCATGCTCACCGTGTGACCTTGGCGTTGCCATGTGTTTTGAGTGGCCTAGGCATGTCTAGTGGGTTGGGCACTCCTCAGGTAGGTGCTAGGAAGAAAATCACAACATAAGATTCTCACGAGGAGACCGATCGATGCTCAAACATGAATAAGCAGCCAAGTGTTTGATTAGCGGTACAAGAAATGCACATGGCTAACGGGCGTGAGTTTTTGCTGAGGATGATCAGTTACTAAGAAGACCGTCTTCACAAATTTTCAGCTCAAAAGGAGGAGCCTAGGTGGTACTTGCTTTGCAAAGTACCACACTGAACAGAATAGGAAAATGAATATTTTTGAATTATTTATGAACTAGGAAAGGAAGGTTTTTTTACATATTTGATGAAGATATGACCCAAAGAATTTATGAAATTATTTTGGGAATTTTGGGAATGACAGAAATATAGGTTGCTTCACAACCTAGGGCAAAAACTGCCACATGGACATGACACATAGGCAAAACTGATGAGGTGGCGTCTAGTCATAGCAATAAGTACTAATGCATCCATGTTCACAACCTCATGACCATTTATATTGGTCGTAATCAGGTAGAAATAAGGTCATGGACCACTCTTGTCTGCTTTATGACCATTTAGTGTAAGGCAATTCAGGGTTTGAGCCCTTCCGAGCGAAATGGCCGTGGATTTACGACCAATTCAGCTAGGGTCACTAAGAGAAGGTCACTAGTTGACATATTTCTTGTAGTGTCATAGAACGTTAAGCGTGCGGACCCTACGGGTTCGAGAACTATGTAGACATGATCGAGACACATCTCCGATCAATGACCAATAGCGGAACCTGGATGCTCATATTGGCTCCTACATATTTTATAAAAATCTTTATCGATCAAATCGCACAACAACATACGTTGCTCCCTTGTCATCGGTATGTTACTTGCCCGAGATTTGATCATCGGTATCATCATACCTAGTTCAATCTCGTTACTGGCAAGTCTCTTTACTCGTTTCATAATGCATCATCCCGTAACTAACTCATTATTCACATTGCTTGCAAGGCTTATAGTGATGAGCATTACCGAGAGGGCCCAGAGATACCTCTCCGATACATGGAGTGACAAATCCTATTCTCGATCTATGCCAACCCAACAAACACCTTTGGAGACACCTGTAGAGCATTTTTATAATCACCCAGTTATGTTGTGACATTTGATAGCACACAAGGTGTTCCTCCGGTATTCGGGAGTTGCATAATCTCATAGTCAGAGGAACATGTATAAGTCATGAAGAAAGCAATAGCAATAAAACTTAACAATTATTATGCTAAGCTAATGGATGGGTCTTGTCCATCACATCATTCTCTAATGATGTGATCTCGTTCATCAAATGACAACACATGTCTATGGTCAGGAAATATAAACATCTTCGGTTAACGAGCTAGTCAAGTAGAGGCATACTAGGAACACTTTGTTTTGTCTATGTATTCACACATGTACTAAGTTACCGGTTAATACAATTCTAGCATGAATAATAAACATTTATCATGATATAAGGAAATATAAATAACAACTTTATTATTGCCTCTAGGGTATATTTCCTTCAGTATTGATATTTGCGGACCGGCGGCAACGGTGCAAGAGCAGACCCCGCAAGGCCGACCCGTAAGAGAGCATATTCCGCGAATATCCTTTTATACGGGCCCATTTTGCGGGGTCTGCTTCTGCGGCCGCCTACGCCAGCTCGCAAAGATGTTTTTCGTGAATTGCGAACGTATTTTACGGGTCGGCTTTTTACGGGGTCTGCTAGAGATGCTATTAATTTGGTCCATCACTCGTGCAAAAGTATAAAACCACAATGTGAATTTTTTTTATCTTCAAGTGTCAAGCCGTTTAGGTTTGTCATTTTGCCCCATTTTTACGTACCAAGATGGGCAGCAATTTTGCACACATAGCAACACTTCAACCACAAAATAATTTTAGAAACTAAGGGAAATGAGCACTCAATTTTTTTTTGAAAAGCTCCTCCTTCACAAGAAAATCCCCTTCTCCTCCCGCCGGCACTGCCGCCGGCCTGACCAATCTCAGATGGCCTATGGGCCATGGAGGTGTCGAGGATCTCGCCCCCCTCACCCCTCCCCCCGGCGTGAGGGGTCTCGTTCTTGTTCTTGTTAGATTCAACACCTTGGTTGGGGCTGTGTGGCAACATCTATGTTCCCTAGTAGGAATAATGTCTCCCGTGTTCTATCCCCATCCCGATGGTGCGTCTAGCATCGTCGGAGGGTGTGTGGAGGTGTATCTTCATCAGATCTCATGGCATTCAGTCGGTGCTGGTCTTCGGTGGATCTGTTTGGGTTCGATCTTCGTTTGAGTGTTTATAGGTTTGATCCTTCCGATCTCATGGCATTTAGTCGGTGCTGGTCTTCGGTGGATCTGTCTGGTGCGCTGGTCCTATGGAGCCTTAGCACGACGATTTCTCGACTATCTACTATAACAAGTTTTGTTTGCGCCAGTGTTTGTAGTTATCACTAGGTGGTCTACCTATGTTGTTCGTTGTACTGCCATGACTGAAGATGAATAGCTTGGAAATTTCTCGCAATTTTTTTTGAAAAGCTTTAAAAAACTCTACTAATTTGAATAGACTTTGCAGATATTTTTTTAGTATGTAAAAGATATACGGGGCAACTTTTTTGGGGGAAAATTTGAGTTTAAGCAAAGCATTTTTAGCTGGAAATGTGGAAGGATTTTCTATATAAAAATTAGTGTTGGGGATATCTCTTATCGGGAACTTATCGGTCGACCCATGATAAGGGGTAAATCGGCCAGTTTATTGGCACATTGGCTGATTTATCTTATCGGTCAGACAACGGTAAGCTATAAATAGGCCGATTTATCGGAATATCGGAAGATATCTTGAACGGTGATAAAAATTGATAGATATATTTGGAAAACAACTCAAATTTTTAATTGGCGGAAACATTCCCAAAATTTATTAAAAATAAAGGGAATTTTAAAATGTAACAAAAAAAATCTTTTGAAGTTTACCAAGTAAGTGGTTTCCATAATATTTAGGATTAGTATGCTTTTTAATTCTCCACAATCTCTACAACAATATTTATATTCCCCCTCCATTTTTTTTCACCGGGCCACCAGCCTGCCAAGCATGCACAAATGTTCCATCTCATCGTAACCACTTTCTGTGGAGCAAGGGCGGAGTCTCGACGATTTCTTTATTGGGGCTGACCTTTTGCCAAAAGTAATTTTTGGTAAAGAGTATATATTAATATCGTCGAGATACCAATTACATCGAGTCTCTGCAACAATGCAATGCCCAATGACATAAGGATGCCCACAGCCAAAAAAGAAGAAGAAACTAAAAAGAAAGTCCCGCTACAATGTTCCAGGCCTTGCAGCTGCAGCACAAGCTCCACCAAGACAACACCTGATGTCCAAATCTTCCAAAAGCGACGCCTCAAAGGAGAAAAGTGTGCACCAACGCCGTCGTCGCCCGATCGTAGATCTTGGGTTTTCACCCTGGAGATAATCCCCGCTCTCAAAACAATGCTTTCAACAAGACCATTGCCAGGCACAACCAATTAAGGCTAGACCTTGGATTTTCATTCTCAAAGGCAAGACATTAGACTTCACCTGTGTTGTCACCCCCACTTACATACCGCTACTATGAATCCCGAAACTCCAAGCAAGTTCATCAACGCCGTAGACTCCAATCACCATTACTAGTCCTCCAATCTCGGCTTCCATGACATTCTCGCCTCTGACTTCACCATGGAAAAGTGATGGGAAACCCTTACCCTTTCCATCATTACGCCTGATTCATCATGACATAAGAAGCATCACGGAACGGAATTATTGTACAGTTAAGCAATTCATAAAAAGAGTCCATTGAGTGATTTATCTTTAAAGAAACTCTATAGCTTATTCACTATGTGGTAAAGTCTACATAAGAAAGGGAAAGTTAAATAATCTTTGTGTTTTTGACGTATGCTTTTTTTTCTATTGCAGAGAATTGACATATGTTAACTATCAAAAATGCTAAATGGAGCTTGAGCTCCATGGAGCCCTTGAATAAATTAAAAGATCATACTTTTATGTTTCCAAAAAATCTGGAAAAAATACACATATACCCACAGATGTAAACGTACACTTGTGTAAAGTTTCATGATGAACTACGGTTAAATGAGAGCTTGTAGCTTTTTAGCGCATGTACTGTTTCCTCTAAAAGTCCATGATTTTGTTTTTGTGCAGCTTGAAATTGAAGGTATTTCATTGTGAAAAACAAATTGGGCTCTATTTTCATTGTGAGGTTTTACACATACATACATTACATCCTTATATATGTGTACATGTTTTTTTTTCATAAAATTGTAAAATCGCAATAAAAAATAAAAAATAACAGGCTTCATGGAGACGCCTTGCTCGCGTTTCTGTTTTCTCACTGCTACTATGTCATCACTGCCGCGTGCCGACTCAGTCAGGTCGGAACGGACAAAAACCGCCCCTTCTGCCGCGGATAAACAAGACGAGCTGAGGTGGGCAGGATAGCAACTGTACCGGGACGAAAGCATGGTGTGGAGTAAACAAGCAGAAACCGAATCTGAAAGCACCCGGTATCCTGGAAAACAACCACCCGCAGCCGCCTGTTTTGCTCCGGCTCTCTCTGCCTCCCTCCCGTATATAAACCTCGCCCCACTCTCACCCTCCTCTCATCAGCACAAGCAAAGCACCAGGAAGAACCATCCCCCCATCAGTTCAGTTGTTTCACCACTGAAAGTCCAGTACTACACACAAGCAATCAATCACAAATCAGCCTCAGTTCGACCACTTTCCACCAGACCAGCAAGAGGCGATGGCCGGTGCAGCGAAGGCGTCTTGGATGGTGGCCATGAGCGTGGGCGCGGTGGAGGCGCTCAAGGACCAGGCGGGACTCTGCCGGTGGAACTACGCTCTGCGGTCCATCCACCGGGCAGCCAAGGCCAAATCCAACATCCACGCCGGCGTCTCGCAGGGCAAGAAGCAGCTTCCGGCCTCGGCGGCGGCCGTGCCGGAGAGGCGGCGAGCGGAGAAGGCCGAGGAGGGGCTGAGGACGGTAATGTACCTCAGCTGCTGGGGACCAAACTAGTAGTACTAGCTAGCTGCTAGCGGTGTGTTTGTTGCAGCAAGCAACCATGGCCTGGGATCTGGCTGGTTGCATCTGATTTGTACATACGTGTCCCCAGGATGATGATGAAAATTTCAAGTTTATACCAGCCTCCTTCTCCATGATTCTGCGATTTATTTTGATGCAGAATGCATATTGTGCTATGAATTGGTTGCAAGTGCTTCCTGTGGCTGGGAGTCGACCTGCTGTGGGGTGAGATCGCTCGTGGAGGTTCTGTCTGAATTTCTTCGCTCTGCAAATTGCTGAACCGACACGACAGCTAACTCAACTAAACGTGATCCAGATCCAGGGTATACCACATTATTAAGTTAAGTATAAACGTGAGCAAGTTGAACCCGCAAAAAAAAGTATAAACGTGAGCAAGTTGGATCCAGGTACTGGCCAGAGTGAGACACGTCACAGTTCCCTTTCCAGTTTTCACTAAACGGCCAGCAGAATCGTTACTGCATAACTTGGATCATGGCCTAGTAAGCACCATTCTGACCATAAGAGATATCCCTACACTTCAGAGTTCGTCCGAAATAATCAAGCAGAACGATCGGTGTAGTAGAAAAATCAGTGTCACATCATACAAAATAATTACTATGATTTTTTTAGGGGAACTATAAATTTAGGACGCCGATAACGCCCACATGTGTGGGCGTTAAGGGATCTGGCCACACATTTTGTGTGGTGTCTAAGAGGACCAGCCCACACGTCTACGTGTGGGCAAAACAACTAGCGCCACACGTATTTTTTTTTCACGGTCCCTCTCACACGCCTATAGGTGGGCAAAATGGGCAACGCCCACACGACCTCTCTCAACAACCTACCTCACGGTCCCGCACGCCCCGCGTGACAGTTACCACGCGTCCCCGTAGTTGCCATGGTCCGGACCCTCTTCAATGTCCATTTAACTGCAGTTGCCATGTCACTGAACTACAGTTGTCATGTCGGATAACTACAGTTATCATGATTGCTCAACTGCAGTTGTCATGTATGGTCTGGTCTACTGTAGTTGCCATGATTTCAAAACTTTAGGAGTTGCCACCTACTAACACTAGGCAGTTGCCATATATGGTCTGGTCTACTGCAGTTGCCATGATTTCAAAACTCTAGGAGTTGCCACCTACTAACACTAAGCAGTTGCCATGTAGCACTACAAAAAAAGCATGGCAAAAAAACATGTTCGGGTAAAAGAAAGAGTTGTCATGTGCTCACAAGCACGCTAGGGCAGTTGCCATGTAAAAGAAAGAGTTGACATCTGCTTACGTGCACGCTAGGGCAGTTGCCATGTACCATGCAAAAACACATGGCAACTCGGGTAAAAAGAGAGTTGTCATCTGCTTACAAGCAAAGCTAGGGCAGTTGCCATGTACCCTGCAGAAACACATGACAACTGACAGCTTTGGGTGTGGGCGAGGAGACGAGCGTGTGGGCGAAGTGATAAACGCCCACACACCAGCCTCTCTACGTGCGTGAAAACTTCTGTATGGACGAATTGCTAAACACCCACACACCAGCCCCCCGTGTGGTGAAAAAGAATGTGTGGGCGACCGGATGAATGCCCACACACCAGCTCAGTCCTACGTGACACACAAAAACTGCTAGAACACGCCAAGATTCGTGCAAAATTAATTGAACGAGGATCCATATGTGTAGGCGAGTTGCCAAACATCCACGCATGTGGGCGTTAGTCTTTCCGTAAATTTATATTTATCGTATATAAGAGTGTAATCAGATGTCCCCTAGCGAAGAGTTTAGGTGCGCCTCGTCCCGCCTACGCGCACGGTACATTTTGTTTGCATCACCAAACGTCAACACGTCAAAACGTCCAGCCTCTGATATGCCATGTTCGGAGTGTAAATTGTTATCATTACTAGCATATATGTCCGCGCGTTGTAACGGGAGATAAAATAACATGCATTTAAAGTTAATGAAAATTATATGTGCAAGGAAAATCTTGTGTGCACATAAAAAAAGAGCATTTAGCTTCTCGGTCTCGCCGTGTGTGAAGGAATCAATTTGCTATTTTTCTATTGATTAATCGACGGTATTTAATTTTGTTATGTCATTGTACGCAAGAGAAGGCTCATGAGTTATTCAATCCGGTTTTCCTTTTAATCCTTTTAATCAAGAAGATTTTAAGTTATGAAGTTTCTGAATATTTTAGGAAACATGAATAATTTTTCAAATCCTGAACAGTTTTTTGAATATTATGTACACTTTTGAAAAAACACGAAAAAAATATGAAGAGAAACATCTTTTTACAATTCACTTACATTTTCTGGAAACACCAACTTTTTTTATAACAACATTAACATTATTTGAATTTGTGAACATTTTTAAAAACGGGAACATGTGTTGAAAATTAATAAGATTTTAAGAAAATGTGTATCTTTTATACACGAACATTAATTTTTACTATGAAAATTTCACTAAGACAAGAAAAAATTTGAATTTGGAGCATTTTTTTAAATGCCATTTTCTTTTTAGAAATCGTGAACAATTTTGAAAAACAATAATTTTATTCTTTTTGAAATGGGAGACTTTTTCCAAATTCCTAATAATTTTCAAGATATCAATAAATTTTTTGAATTCCAAAATTTTCCCAAATTTTCTTTCTTTAAATTCTGAACGTTTTTTGTGAATTTTTAATTTATGAAATAAATAAATAAAATAAAATAAACTTGGAAGGAGATTAAAATAGAAGTAAACACAAAAACAAAGAAAAATGGGCCAGCCTATTATTGGTTATCCTGTGCCAAACTCTGACTAAAAAACATGAAAATTATTTGAATTTGTGAGCTTTTTTTTAAAAAAAGGAACATGTATTGAAAATGCATAAGATTTTTAGAAAAAATGTGTATCTTTTATACACGCACATTATAGAATATTTTTCAAATTTGGAGAAATTTTTGAAATGCCATTTTCCTTTTAGAAATCTTGAACAATTATGAAAAATATTGCTTTTCAGAAAAGTGGGAACTTTTTGCAAGTTTTGAATATTTTTCACAATAGAAACAAATTTCGGAAAGCTAAATATTTTCCAAAATTTCTCAAATTCTGACTATTTTATGAGTATTTTAATAAATAAATAAATTCAAAAAGAAAAATAAAGTTGGAAAGCAAAAAAAGAAATATGGAAAGGAGAATAAAAATATAAATAAAACACAGAAACAAAGAAATATGGGCCAACCCATTATTTGTTGTCCTATGCGAAACTCTGACTATTTGTCGCCCACTGTGGGAAATAGAATTTTCCCAGCTGCGTGGCAAAAAAATAAGTGGACTGGCTTCGCTAGCCACAGCGTGCGACCCACGTACGGAAATTCTTTTTCTAGCACACAAACACATAAGAATTTAGTACCACCTTAGATAGAAAAAAATTCTTTTCGGTGGTGAGCGAATGAAAAAATTGGCAAAACGCACCTTGCTTTCGATGGTGAACGGGTGAAAAAATTGGCGAAACACCTTGCTTTATTAGTAGGTATGGATTGGTCGGGGTCATCAGCAACTATATTCATAGACTAGTTTCGAAGAAAGAGATAATATCACCGGCAGTCACAAGACTTACTTCTGATGTTCAGTTTAGTTCTAAAACTTGCAAAATACGTTGTTGCGGTCACATAACTTGCATTTACGTGCACATACGGTCGAAAATCCCCTCTGGCTTCGTATGACCTGCTGGCGTGGCATACCTGGTCCACTATCAGCCTCTGATTCCGCCCAGCATGGCGCGCATGCCTTTTTTTGCAGATAACACCTCAGGTTGCTTCATAATTACATAAAAAGCCCCTCTGACTGTGGGAACAGGCAGGGCTCATACTTTTGCCCAAAGGGTCCCCAAAAATGGTACCCATTCATTCCCACTCCTCACCGCATCGTCTCCCTCCTTTGTCTCGCTCCTCCGTCTCCCTCGATTCTTCCAAGGCGGAGGCGGCATGGCGGTCGTCGTCGTAGGACATGGACGACCCGCATCGTCGGCTATGAGGCGATCCAGCGCCGCCGTATGGTTACTCCTTCTGTCCTCTGTCGTTTCTGTTGTGCCATCTCTGCATCATTATGTTTGTCGTCTCTGACGTAGTTAGGGTTCATGGGGCAGGGCAATCAGGTTTGATTCACATATGTACTCGTCGTGTGTAGCACGTGGACGTAGGCATTACCTATGGTTGGTTGTTGGGCCCCTACTTGTGGAATCGTGCTAGCGTTTAATTGGGGGTTATGAAGGAGGTCGCTTTATCTGTCGAAGATGACTAGAGGAACGAGAGCCCTCCATGTAAATTGTTCTAGGGTTTCATTGGGGGACATTACTTATTAGATATTTCACCATGTGTAGTGTTGGTACTTGAAGCTTTCAAAAGTCTAAATGTGTGCAGTGTGGACTGAAGTTGCTTCAGTTAACTGAACTTGACATTTGCTGAAGTTTGGTCTGTACTTGTTAGGAGGACTGCGGTATTTTAACTGAACTTGACATCTGAACTTGTCAACTGAACATGGTGACTGAAAGCGTTCACTGCATTTGTTAATGGGCCTCATTTGTTGACTGGAATTAATGTGGAACTACTATTTTGTTGAACCTTAATGTGGAATTACTGTTATGATGTACTGACTTTGTTATGACCTCTTTTACATCACAGGAGATTTTGATGGTCTGTTCAGTGTTGAGATCCACCATAGTGGTTTCTTTTGTGGCAGTGATACAAATAAGACATACATGGATTATGAGGTTGACTGGTTTGACAATTGTCAGACTGACACTTGGTCATTGCTCTGGATTGATGACTTTCTTTTGTAGCTGGGATATGACAGACAAACTTCCAAGATTGATGTTTACTGGTGTGAACCAGGAAAGACAGTTAGCTGCTGCTAATAGTAGGCAATGGTGATACCTTGCAGTCATTAAACAGAGATGATGTTCTGGTAAATGGAGTGACTTGACCACCTAAGGTCATCACTCCAAAGAGGCATGGAAAATAAAA